ATTTACTTAAATATTTAAAATAAGAAAGTACTAATAAAAAATCTTTTTAAATTATTTATAAAGATTTTATAAAAAGAAATACAGAATATTAATAATTAAAATAATATATAATTCTATAAAAAAGATAAAATAAAATAGAATAATATTAAATAAATAATCGACTATAAAATAGATAGAAACTAATAAATATTAATAAATATAATATAAAAAGTATAAAAAATATAAACTAACTATTTAGAAATTCTAATATAACTCTAAAAAAATAGTATTATACTATTATACTAAATTAAAATATTCTAAAAATACTTTATTAAATATACTAGTAAAAATATCTTAAAAATTTAATTTATTAAATAAGCTTTTAGTTTTTTAAAATTAAGTTGTTTAGACTGAATATATTTCTTAATTATAAAATTATATTTATTTAGTAGAATATAATAATTTAAAAATTATAAAAATAACTAGTAGAGCTTTAAAATTAATTAAACTTAAATAAAAAAATTATAATTTTAAATATTATTAAATCTAAGTTATAAAGACTGTTAAATCTAATCTATTTTAAAAAATAGATTATAAAATTATATAATAAGATCTAATCTGTCCAAGTCTTATAAATTCTAGAAATAAAAATAAAAATATTTTTATTTTAATAGTCCAACTAACTACTTTTATACTAGTTTAATTATATTTAGATTCTAATAAACTTAATATATACTGACAGATATAAGATTTAGAATTTTTTTATAAAAATATCTTATTATATTCTAGCTAGAACTTTTTAAAAACTAGCTATAATTTTATAGAAAATTTACCAGCTATTTAATATTATATTAATTTTAGAATCTTTATATTAAATAGAACTTTTAAATCTTTTTTTATTTTTAATAATAAATTAGTAAGATTATATCTGCCGGATTAATACTAAATAATAGAATTATAATTATTAAAATATATATATTATTAAATTTAACTACTGTTCAGCTTCGGTTGCTTTATAAAAGTCTAAAAATTTTAATAATCTAAAAGAATTCTAACAGTATATAATAGTTTTTTAAAATATTAATATTAATATTTAAATAAATAAATAATAGTAAAAAGCTTTTAATCTAAAATTAAATAATAAGTTTTAATATTATTAAACTTTTTTAACTAAAATATAATAAAGTAGTATACTTTATAATTATTTAACTAGAATAATATTTCTGCTATATTCTATTAAAAAATATTTATTTTTATTTATATCTTTTATTAAAAATTAATATATTTTAATAAAAATATAGTTTTTAAAACTATAAAAAAGCTATTAAAATACTACTATCTTTTTACTAATTAATATTATCTTTTTAGATTTTTTCCTATTTTTAGTATCTTTGAAAAAAAAGTAAATAATAATATAATTAAAAAATAATTCTTAATAAAATACTGATAAAAATTATAATATTCTAAGAATACTGAGATCTTATAGTATATAGTTAATATTAATTATATAAAAATATTAAATATTTGTTAGAAATCTATTAATATACTATATAAGAATATAATATATTTTAGAAATTTAATATAATCTTAGTAGAAAATATACTTTAATAGCTTAATATAAAGATCTGCTTTTTATAAATATTCTAGTACTTAATATAAATAAAGAATATAAAAAAAGCAGTTTTTTAAAAAAATGAGAATATTATCTAAATAAGTAATATAAAAAACGTCTAATATATTATAAAAAGCTAAATAAATATAGTTTTAAAATATAACCAGAGCGTTAGTTAATTTAAAAAGTATAATTAAATATTTAAAATATTTATAACAGATTTAAAAAATTATTTTTTATTTATTTTTTTATTTAATATAAATTCAGTAATATATATTCTGAATATTTAACTTTGAAAAATATTTAGTTTTTATAATTCTATTTAAAATTTCTAAAATTAAAGATAAAAAATAGTAATTTTTAATTAAAATCTTATAAAGTTTTCTGTAATTTATATATAATCGGAAGTCTTTATTTTTTTTATATAAAAAGAATAAAAGCTTTTATAAAACTTTTAAAAAATTAAATTTAATCTAATTAAATATTTTTATTAATATAATAATAAAGAGATTGGAGCTTAACTTAAAATAAAAAATAAATAGATTTATATAGTAGATTTTTATTTTTTTTTAAATTAATAGTATAGTCCGAGAGTCTATAAAAAAGAATTATTAAAAATAACTAAAAAAGAATATACTTATAAAATCTTAAAGTTTAAAAAATAATATAATTCTATCAGATTTAATTTATAAATAATTTAAGAAAATTTTATTTTTTAATAACTAAATATTCTTTAGAAGTTTAATTATAGTATAAATATAAATAAGATTTTAATAAGCTTTTATAAATTTATAAAAAAAATAAAATCTTTAATATCTAGATCTTATACTACTATTATTAATTTTATATAAATAAATAAATATATAAATCTTCTAAAATAATTATTAAAAGTAAAATAGGATTTTTAAAAAGATCTAAATTATAATTAATAATTATATAATATCTTATAAATAATTATATAGTTCTTCTTAAATTAGTAGTAGTAATAAAGATTTTTTTATATATTATAAATATTTATAATAAAATAATTAATTATAGTAACTAATAGAATTATAAAACAGACTATATTTAAATAAAATTATTAAATAAATTAATAGTTAATAAGATTAATCTTAATATATAAATCTAAGTTTATATAAAATTTAAGTATATCTCTAAAATAAATAAATATATTAAAGCAAGTAATAATTTTTATTTTAAACTAGTTTATTAAAAATATAAAAACTTTTTTAACTATTATTCTTTTTTTATTAGTTCTAGTTTGGTTTTATTTTTATTTTTATAAGAATATTAATTAGCTAAATAATATTTATTATTATATTTATAATAATAAAAAATATTTTTTTTCTGATTTCTTTTATTTTAAGAAGATTTTAATAAAAAGAACTTATTATTAAACTATAAAAATTCAAATTCTCTAAAAGTCTTATTTAAATAATATTCTTATTTTTTAAATCTTATTTTCTTTTTTAATTTAATATATTTTAATAATAAATAATAATAGATACTATTTCCTCTTAGAAGTCTGGTAGTTTTAGTATATATTTATAAATATATTAACTAAGTTTCGGTACCAGCTTTAAAAAATTAATTAATATATATTTATTATTTTATTTAAATTTAAAATAATATTTTAAAATATTTAAATAAGAATGAAATTTTTTAAAATTTTAATTAGTTTACTAATAGGTTTGTTCAAGCTGTTTTATAATATTAGACTATAAAATAATTATATTTTAAATAAAAAAAAGTTTATTAAATAAAATAATTCTATAATTTCTTAGTATTTCAGCGGTTTTCTAAAGATTTTTTTTTAATATATTGATATTATCTTTACTAATAAATAAAGTCCAAATAACTATAGCTAAAATTTTTTTAATTTTTTATTTAATACTTCCGAGAAGCTTTTTTAAAAATATATTATAAACTATAAATCTACTTCGTTCTCTATTATAAACTAAACCGAAAAAAAATAAAGATTTTTTTAAATTTAATTTTTCTTTTTTTATATTTAGAAGATAAAGTTAAACTAGTATAATATTATTATAATTTTATTAAGAATTTAATATCTTTAAATTCTATTTATAATATTTAAATTTATTTTTTTAATTATTTTAACTATTTTAATTAGTAAATAATAGTTTATATTTTTTTAAATATCTACTTAAGTTAGATAATATAATTTAAAAATAAATAAAATATTTTAAAATAATTCTAATAAAGATTTATTAAATAATATATTATTTTTTCTTAGATAACTAAAAGTAAGAAAAATTAGAAATTATTAGAAACTACTTAATATAGTAAACACGCTGGTTAGATAAAACAAGTAAAATAATTAAAAATAGTTTTTTATTAATTTTAAAACTAATTCTTAAGAAATCTTCTTCTATAAAGAATCTTAAAATAATATATTATATAAAAAAAAAGTAAGTAATATAATAATATAAGTATTTGGATTAAAAGTCTAATAAATCTATATTAACCCCAAAACAGGCTGCTATAGTAGTAGGTATAGGCTGCTGTAGTAGTAGGTATTTGTTATACAATACCTACCGCTACAGCAGCCTATATCTACTACTATGGCAGCCGCTTCGGGGTCGATATAGATTTGTTGGGATTTTAATCCGGATATCTATATTATTATATTACTTATCTCTTCTTTTTACATAATATATTATTCTGAGATTCTTTAGAAAAGGAGATTTCTTAAGAATTAGTCTTAAAATTAATAGAAGACTGTTTTTAACTATCTTGCTTGCCTTGCCTAACCAGTATGTCTACTGCGTCAAGTAGTTCCTAACAGTATTATATGACAAAAATACTATTATTATATTTACTAGATAGAAGACTATATTTATTTAATTATAACTATTTTAGATCTAATATTAAAGCTTAAAAAGTTTAAAAAAATATTTAGCTAAATAATAATATTAACTAATATTATAAGTACTAAAGTATTTTAAAAAAAATATTTTATTTTTATTATAGTTAGAATCCAGCTATTAATATATTATTAACTATTTTTAGATTATTGTTAAACCTAGATAAAATTTTTTATAATATTTTTAAATATTAAAAATTCTTACTAATAGTTAAAATATTTAAAAAACTTAAGATATATTTAAATATTAAAAATATATAGTTTATAAAAATATTTTTAATTAAATTAATATTATTCTAAATATTATAAAATATACTAATATTTTTATTTACTAAAAGTCCTGCTATAATTAGTTTTTTATTTTTTATTAAAAGATTAAAGATTTTCTTTTGATTACTACTAATAATATTAATATTAAATATTTATTTAATAATTTTTAAAATATTTATTATTATTACCCGAGCTATCTTTATACTAATATAATCAAAATAATAATACTTTAAATATATATTAATTATTTCACTATTAATAAAAAGTATTAAAATATTTTTAATAATTTTAATCTAGATTTAATTATCTTTACATCTAAGAAATAAAAGAAGAATAAAATAATTATTATTCCTTATATTAATAAAAATAAGAATATAGATAATCTTAAAAATAATCTAAAAAATAAATTATTATTAAAAATAAAAAAGCTAGCTTTATTTAAGTTTTTAAATATTATATATACTTAGATAGAGATAAAAACCCGGTTTTTTTAATTTTTTTACTACTTTAATTATTATTCTAAATAATATAAAAAGTAATATAATTTTATTAGTTTATTGAATATTAGATTTTATATTTTTTATACTAGATTTTATAAATATTTTTTTAAAGTATAGTATACCCCTCGGGACTATAAAAAAAAGATCAAGCAGATCGAACAGATTAAATAGATTAAATAGATTAAATAGATTAAATAGATTAAATAGATTAAATAGATTAAATAGATTAAATAGATTAAATAGAGTAAATAGATTAAATAGATTAAATAGATTAAATAGATTAAATAGATTAAATAGAATAATAGATTAAATAGATTAAATAGATTAAATAGATTAAATAGATTAAATAGATTAAATAGATTAAATAGATTAAATAGATTAAATAGATTAAATAG